TTCTCTTGCCTCAGCCTTCTGAGTAGCTGGGACTACAGGCATGCCACCACACCCAGCTAATTTTTGTATTTTTAGTGGAGACAGGGTTTCACCATGTTGACCAGGATGGTCTCACTCTCTTGACCTCGTGATCCACCCACCTCAGCCTCCCATAGTGCTGGGATTACAGCCGTGAGCCACTGCACCTGGCCTAAAGATTTGTTACCAAGAAAGTTTTAAAGTTTTGCTGAGTAAAATCTGGGGGGCCTAGGCTGCTTTTGTCATTTCAGGCCTCTGGCTTTTTTGGGAGGAGCTGTTGTCTTGTGACTGGCAGCCAGGGTGAGGCACCCACTGTAGGCACAGGGCTGATACCTGAGGGTCAGCAAGCGACTCCTTTTGTGCCTCACCCTAGTCCTAGCTCTGGTGGGACTAGGCATGAAAAATAACTCAAGTGATGCATTCTGGTTATATAGTGAGCAGTAATGCTGTGAAGAACAGGAAAATAGGTGTTTAAAATTACAAGGTAGTAGGGTCAGCAGAATGGAAGTAAAGCTTATTAGTGTCTACTCTCTTAAAAGTACACAGACAGAAAGTCCTTACAAAGTTTGCAGTTTGTAACAAATCAGGTAAAGACCTGGTCTCCCTCTTGGCCCTTGCTCTTGCATTTAATCAGGCTGACATCAGGTGGTTCTGTGTGAATTTTGCTTATACCAGGAGTTGGCGAACGCTTTCTGCAGAAAGACAGTAAATATTTTAGGTTTTGCAGACCATAGCAAAGCAGTCGTAGGCATCCAAAAATGGCTGCAGCTGTCTTCCAATAAAACTTTACTTGTAAACCTACATTTGGCTTGAGGGCCTTAGTTTGCCAACATCTGCCTTAGACCAAAAGAGAAATGCTCAGTGCACCAAAAGCCCTGTGGGAATACATAGTAACAAGTTGGCCACGAATGGTGGAGGCCGAGGTGGGAGGATCACTTGAGCTTAGGAGTTTGAGACCACCCTAGGCAACATAGCAAGACCTCATCTCTACTTAAACGAAAACTTAGCCAGGTGTGGTGGTGGGTGCCTGTAATCCCAGCTACTTGGGAGGCTGAGGCAGGAGGATAGCTTGAACCCAGGAGTTCAAGTGCAGTGAGCTACAGTTGCACCACTGCACTCCTGCCTGGGCAACAGATTGAGACTCTGTCTTAAGAAGAAGAAAAGTAACAATTTTCTAGAAGAAAATTGTTTCTTCTTTTCTAGAAGAGAAATTTTTAGTGGATTCACATTCCAACATGTAAAAAAGTGGCTGAAAATATTTCTAATAATGTGTTATTTCTTGATCAGGTCACATTAGTTGCATGAAACAGTCCCAACACTTTCTGTTGCAGAATAGATGCCCTTGCCCAAAGCAAGCAAATCAAGTAACAATCACATCAGATCCGGACAGTGTAGCACCATGGGGATTTTCTAACCTGTTTTCTCTTTTGTTCTGCAGGTCTATTCCTTATCCTTGGTTTGATACTCTACCCTGCTGGCTGGGGTTGCCAGAAGGCCATAGACTACTGTGGACATTATGCATCTGCCTACAAACCTGGAGACTGCTCCTTGGGCTGGGCCTTTTATACCGCCATCGGGGGCACAGTCCTCACTTTCATCTGTGCTGTCTTCTCCGCACAAGCAGAAATTGCAACCTCCAGTGACAAAGTACAGGAAGAAATTGAAGAGGGGAAAAACCTGATCTGCCTCCTTTAGTTTGGAAAAGACATTAATGCCATTTTCTCCCTTGAGTAATCTTGTGAAACAGTTCACAGTTTCATCATTTGAGTCAAGTGGAGAACCAACCTTTACCTACCAAAGCCACGTTCCACAGCCCGAGGCTTAAACAGGACCAGTGAGAGGCCACATCCAGCTACGCAAAGTTACTGGACGTGCGGTCTGCAGTGGACATAAGGAATGGAACATGAAAATAGTATATAATCCCTGACCTGGAGTTACCAAGTTCTGTCAGACTCCATCTCCCCCAGGTTCAATGAAGGATAATAATGTAAATCATTAGGGCAGCAGTTTCTCTGGTAAAGGAAGAGACCATCCACCAGATTTGCAGGCTGCTTCTGCTCCAACGCTGCTTGTGTGTGAGCATCTCTGCCTCAGAATAGGGTTTTGGGTTGGATTTTTTGTTTTCCTCTGTTCTTTCAAGGCCATCTCAGTTGGAGACGAACAAAAAACTATAAATTTTACTGGGGACAGGATGTGTTTGCTAAAGGGCACAGCAAGATACTGTCTTTTGCTTAGCTGACCAAAGGGGTCAGCAGGGGTGGTGTGGAGTCATGCTGTGGAACTTATTCTAGGCTGAATCCTAGGGTAAGGTGGATCAACTGAACTGTCACTCCAGAGATTTTAGAAATTTGAGTAAAGAAACAATAAGGACCTATACAATCATATGAGAACAAAAATAAATACGAAATCTTGCTAGTGAAGACATTTTTTTTCCTCTTCCCAGCAGCCAGGCTAGCACCAGTTCTGGCACAGTGTCCTCTTCTGGAGATCACATGTTTTTCTCCTAAGGTTAGGATTGTGCTTTGACTGCCAAAAGGAAACCTCACTCTGTTTCCTCCTTCCAGGGACTGAGGTCCCCAAGCCAGCTGCGGCTCATTCAGATGTTCACTGGGAGGACTTGCCAGAATCTCGGCACTTGCAGGGAGCCCTTTCCTCCCTGTTTGGTGACCATGCTGTAGTCAGCTCTATTTCCAATCCCGACAGTAGCAGAATGGCATTCTACAACAAAAAGAAGCTAGTTGTGGGAGTTAAGTTTTTGTAGTTACTGGTGTTGATCCTGAAAGCAGACTGAGATAACATTAAATTGCTGCAACTGAAGAACTGCAGCTGAGACTTTAATTAATTCCAGGAAAGTACAGAGGACAAAGTTAATTCAAAAAGAGGAGCTAGATCAAGGTCACAGCACTGCCTACACCTGTTTACAAAAAGAATCAAATACCACTATGAATAAGGATTCAGGGGCTTTTAAACTACTTTCCTAATTACCAATATCACTGATTCAGGAAGACAGTATCTCAGAATGACCAGGGCATCGCAGAAACAAGCTACTCTGACATGGGAGCTTCAAAATTGTATCATGATACAGAAACACTCCTTAGCACTTTAAGAGATTTCTGGAAGGGGAAAAAGTGTAGGTCTCTGGGTTCATTAATCTGCTCGCTTGAGGACTTTGTTTTGAAAAAGTACCTTCTGTGGACAAGGTATTGTGTGTTAAGTGCTACCAGCTATACAACCCTGGTTCAGATTTTGCAACCTTGCCCCAAGTGAATCATGTTAAAGCTGTCTGAGTCTAAAGCACCATATGGTGGTGCAGAACAGATAATTATACAGAGATGGAATGGGACAACTAAAGTTTTACTGCATTCTGGTTTTGGGCCTATATGAGAAACCATCTTATCTCACAGATAAGGGCTAAGGGCAAAAGGGGTGGGAGGTGTTTGTTAGGCCTTAATGAGTTTCCCATTCCTGAACCAAAATTCAAAGTGAGCGAGATATAAATCCTGTGATTTTGGTGAAGAAAAAAAACGGGTATCTTCATAGCAGCCTAGGAAACATTAACCATATCTCTAACACCACCCAGAAAGAGGCTGGAGGAGCCACTGGACAAAGCTCCTGTCTCTGTGTGTACATTTATAATGTTCTAACCAAGTCTCAAACCTTGGCAATAATTTTCATTAAAAGCAATCCCATTCATCAGACAAATCTTGATGGAAAACACAAAATTTTTCCATAAACTTATCAGAAGACTCACTTTTTTTTTTTTTTTCTTTCTGGGATAGAGAAACCATTTTCTGACAGTAGGTTTACAATCTCAGTGTCCTTACAAGTTAAGTCCTAAGCTCAGAGGATCCTCCGAGCATGTCCATCACCTGCTCTTTGGCTAAGGCGGCAGTGTACCTCTAGATCAACCTGGAAACAGTCACAAGGGAGTGTGACTTCTTGGCCATAATAAAGTCACTTGACAGTGTTTATGTTATTAATTTGAACACACAGAAGACAAAAGCACAGGTATGCACACACACAAAACCCCAAACCACTAAAAACTACCTAAACACTGAGTAAATAGTAAAAAGGTAATGTTGGGACTTTTAAACCTTGAATTCATTAGCCAGGCTTGGGGTGAAAGGACCATCTAATATCATGCAAGTCTAAACCATACTCTTCCACACAGCTGTTTAAAAACCACTGGGTATGAGGAATATGCTAGTAAGAAATGTTAAAAATAGATTGTTGGCCCACACTTATTTTTCTAATAAATAGGACCATTATTACTACCAGGATAGTCTTATTTATTTTGCCTGAATTTGTGCTTAAAGAAAGTCTCATGACAGGATGGGATGGGCTGCGCTTCTCAGTGTACTCTGAGGCAGAAATATTTGCCTTGGATTCTGTGGATTTTTTAAACCTGTGTGCTGATAATTCAAACAATGTTGCATTAATTGTGTAAGGGTTTTTTATAGTTTTCAAACATCTGTGGTGTAATGATCTTTGTTAAACATATATTCTGTAAAGTGCCATAGTCTTTTTTTATGTGTAGCATATTTAAAAATATATATGTATATTATACATACACAAGTTCGTGTGAAAGATGTGCAATAACAAAGGTGTATGTATGTTTTGTTGTTTTGGAAACTGGACAGGAGTCAAAACAGGAATGTTTCTGTTTTGGCAAAGGAGAGTTCCACATTTTTGCCTTCATGGCTTATTCAGTAACCTGTAATTTTAATGCTACACAAATCTTATGTGAAGAAAAGACTGGTATGAAATCATTTTCTCCTGGGTCTAAAATAATCACTAGCATATGTCAAGGTTAAGCCAGCAAGCCAGGCCCAGTTAATGCTAGTCTTTCATGTGAAATGTGAAGCTGCCATGTTGCCTTTTCTCTTAGTAAGATAACTAGTAGCTGGTACATAATCACTGAGGAGCTATTTCTTAACATGCTTTTATAGACCATGCTAATGCTAGACCACTATTTAAGGGCTAATCTCACACCTCCTTAGCTGTAAGAGTCTGGCTTAGAACAGACCTCTCTGTGCAATAACTTGTGGCCACTGGAAATCCCTGGCCGGCATTTGTATTGGGGTTGCAATGACTTCCAAGGGCCAAAAGAGTTAAAGGCACGACTGGGATTTCTTCCGAGACTGTGGTGAAACTCCTTCCAAGGCTGAGGGGGTCATTAGGTGCTTTGGAGGAACTCAGCACCATTTGATATTCAACAGCCACTTGAGCCAAATATAAAGTTGTATTTACAGCTGATGGACTCAATTTGAGCCTTCAAACTTGTAGTTATCCTATTATATTGTAAACTAATACATTGTTTGTCTAGCATTGATTCGGTTCCTGTGCATATGTATTTTCACAATGTGCTCCCCTCCCCAGATCTTAATTAAACCAGATTTTGCAAATTCATTCTTATGCTTTCAAGTCTGAGTATACTGGCTTCAATATGATGTGTATAATCTGATCAAGAAAATACCTATAAATCAGTCAACATTTATTTTAACTAGCTTACATGTAATATTGATGAATGGGAAAAAGATATTCAGGTATTTTAAACTATTCCATTCACTAGTAACATATATGTCCCTATCTGTGTTATCTTTAATGTCAAGTACGTATTTCTTCCTTGAAGAAGCATCAACACAATTATAAATAGGAAAAAAATCTCAAGTATTATAAAGTAAAGCTATGAAATATGAAAATGCTCCATTAAAAAGGAATTTTCAAACATAAATATGTAACAATGACAATGGGGAAAAGTTAACTGAAAGACACATCCTCCTCTTCCAACAACAACCCTAAAAATAAAAGCCAGTGATATGGTGTCATTCCACATCCATGTTTCCTGAAGGTAATCCTGGCCATAAAAAGCCTCATCCAGAATAGGTGGAATTCTAATTTATAAACTCAAGAATGACACTAAATACCCTTCTCAACTCTTTCAACTTCCTGTATCCCATGAAGCATTTATTATTTCATACAAAAAAACAAAAAAGGCAATTTCTTCCCCTGATCTAGGGCCTATGACAGTTGAAATTACATTTATGTTCTGGTTTCTAATAAAAATAAAAGCTGACAAAGTTACCCACATCAGTTTTTAAAAACCACACACGGTTTTCCAAATAATCATGATTTGAATAACTCAAGAAAAATCAGAACATTTCCATTGCTTTTTCAGCTGTTACTATACTCTCCAAAATTTAATCCACAGAGAATGGTAGAAGCTGGGGAACCCTCCCATGTGCTTCCCCCACTTCCCATCCTTAGTTGTTATCTAGCAATTCTGCTTCTAGGTCCACTTTCCACACTGATCTTCCTGGAACATTCTGCATTCAAATTACACCTACACCCCCTTAAAGTTTTTGCTTAACCAAACAACCACTTAGAACGGTCCTTACTAACATGGACATTTTATGTGGATATTATTTCAGTAGTTTCAAACAATCTTTTTCAACCCTCACACAATGAAGGGTAAGGCATCAAAGCAAACTTTACTCTTCAAAGCAGTAAGAACCAATAACTTTATTTCAGAGGCCCTCACTAGCAGCTGAGTCATTTGGCAGAGCCATCCCCCTGCTGCTCCTACTACTATCTTCTTCCTTGTACAACTTCCTCTCCTTACCCTGAACAGCTGTGCAAGATAAGTCTTGCAGACATAAACTGCCAATTTTACTAAGGTACACAGGACACAGATAAAAGCATACAAAAAGAGGAAGTAGTGAAACCAAAACCACATGGGAAAGAAAAGTCAATCAAATAACACATTGCTATTAGCAGCTTTTTAGCTTTTTATAGCCAAACATCCTGAAAAATTAAACACCTACAGGTAGGCAGTCCAGAAAGTGCCTATGTTTAAGAGAAACCACTATGATTTTATTCACAAGAGACGAAAGCCTGAATTAAGGCAGTGATGGTAAAAGACAGTCAATGGGATGAATTCTATGTTAGGGGAAAAGAATGGACAGGTGGACTGATCAGAAGTGGAGGGGAAGGAAAGAGTCTAGGATGACAGCCAGGTATTTAGTGTAGAAACTGGGTGGAAGGTGATGTGATCAACAAGAGGAAGACTCCAGAAAAAGCAGACAGTGAAGGTGAGGAGGTTCAGCTTAGGCTGCCAATGTAGAAGTCCTGTGTGCAGCTAGGACTATACTAGGGAGAGAGATTGATTTGGGAGTCATCAATACACCTGAGAGATGGTAAGTGTCCTTAGTTATTGTGCAATTTCTATGGGCAGATACTACGCTAAGCACTTCATAAAATTCATTTATTCATCAAAACCCTATGAGATAGAAACTACTATCATTTTACAGATAACTGTCACTTAAATAACTGAGGTGAAATAATGTGTCCCAGGTTAGAAAGCTAGTAAGTGGCAAAGTCAAAGCTCAGATATATGTTTGACAACAAAGGCAACCCCCTCAAACTGTTATGTTGTTTCCTTCTACCTGGAATGCACAGGGTGGGAAGGCGGCCAATGCAAATTCCTGGGCAACACCAATATCTCTGCACTGCAGACACTTAGAATAACTTCCAAATAAAACTCCAAAAGGGCCTCACCATCACAACTGGTGAAAACACTGCTTCTTCCTCCCTGTCAGAGAAAACACCTAGTGATTTTTCATAATTTTGAAGATGACATATGTCTCAATTTATCAATCAGGATTTAGCTCAATCCTGAAAACAGACACAAGAAATTCAGTATATGACAGTAGGAAAGTAAATGATAGGCTGTGACAGTTTTTATTGTTTTCTTAGTATCAAAAATCTCTCATTCAGAGTAAGCAACTATTACAATCACACAAGAAGCATATTTAACCTAATAATAAGGATTTGTCCTCAACTGAAGTTTCTCCAAACTCACAAATGCCAAAGACCCTTTAGAAAATTTACACTGCTGAAGGATGGGCAATAGGACTCACCTTTAGGTGGCAGGTGTTAGCATTTGGTCTGGATAATCCAAAAATCATGTAAAAATTTTGTTGATTTTTTTTTTCCAGTATCCATTGTCCCTAAAGGATGGACATGAATGACTGGAAATGTGGAAGGATGAAAGGGAAGACAACTGGAACGAGGCAGCACGGTGGGGCAGCCACACTTGGCAGGAGTCAGGGGACCTGCGTGTTCTCATCATCCCTCTCCAGCCCCTCACCACCACCACTCACTGAGTGACTTCGGGGTAATTTCCTAGAACTCTACAAAAACAAGGCCAACAACAGAAATTATATCACAAATTTGGTATGAAGATTAAGTGATGTAATATAAAGCATTTAGTACAGAACACTGGTATACAGTTAAGCCCACAATAAGTTACTATTAGAAAAAAACTAAGAAAATACTGTCCACCCAGACTATTATCATTTTAAAATTACAATCTATGAAAGGTAACATAACTTGTTGTCAAAACCCATGTAATTTTACCTGGAGAGACTTGGTGGATTGGCTACCTGAGGCCACTATTTCTTTTTCCATCCTGTTATAACAGAGCATTCAGCTAATTATCTTTACCTTAGAGCTTTCAGGAAGTGGAAGATTTCTTGGTGGGTGCAGGGTACTCAGTTACTCCTATTTAGCAAAAACAAAAACAAACAAACCTGTA